TACTATTAATGCTCTAAAAGAGGTAAGTTTAAAATTTAGAATATATAATTTTGTATTAAAATGATTTCTTATATATTTTAGTGTGTTGCAGTAGTCTTAAAACTAAGTGTATTTATTGTTAATAAAACAGTTTGACAAATAGCTAAAATTCCTCAGTTACTAACTACATATTCTGATGTTTTCGCAACGCTGTGTGGTTCTGACGTCGTAAATCTTGAAAGAGATGCAATCATTTTAATATGAAAAATTCTATACACAATCTCTTGCGTTGTGCTATGGTTTCATAGTTGATAGTCTCTATGAGACTTTTTTCATTTTGGTTGAAGAACCTAGTCATGGGCGTTACGATACCTTAAGATGTTTTGTTACTAGAGATGATTATTAGGAATTTATTTCATTTAATATAAATGTTAAAATTACCTGAATTTATCTAAGTAGCAACTTGATCCAAAAAGTTAATTTTATGAGCTTTGCATTATATTTCCCAAATTCGATTACTTTTATCTTCAGTATTCCTACATTCTTCAGGATTCCACTTCCTTTAGTTAAAAAAATGTAAGATTTATGTAATCTAATTGTATTAAAGAACTGCTAAAGACTATTAAACATCGAAAAATATCTTATCTGGGACATATAGTAAGGGAAAGTCGATATAAAATATTATAACTGATCCTTAAAGGCAAAATAGAGGGCCTAGAGGTGTACGAAGAAAACAAGTTTCTTGGTTAAAAAACATTCGTGAATAGACTCAGATATCAAATGCAGGACAATTATTCCATTTTGCAGAAGATCGAGAAGCCTTCGCAATGGTGATCGCCAGTGTCGGATAATTCTGATATGGCACGCGAAGAAGAATTGTATTAAATAAAAATATATAAAAATTGCCTAAAAATAGGTTATGTTTGTATAGTCAAACAATTAATTGAAGAGGGTGACTAAATGACAACACTCAAATTTTAGACTGTTAATTTTTGGGAAATTCCATGATTCCAGCGGCGTCGATATTTCATTATTTTTTTAGGATTAAATTATTCTATTTAAAATGAATTCCATCGTGATGTCCCTGTAGGTATCTTGGTGAGTCGTTCTTTGAATTTCTTACGTGCCTAAGTCTTGCTTTACTATTTTATAAATATAGGTAGGTGATTTCCTACGAATAATGCTTTTACCTGAAATATTTTTTTAAATCAACATTTCATTGAACAATAATTTATCTAAAAACTGTAATGTTAATTTACGTCTTTACCATCTCATAATATACAATAATCAGCTAATATCTACTATCGATAAGGAAATATAAGCTACGACGACGTCTGTAAGATCTATTACCATTGAATTCTTCAATCGCAACATTGTAATTTAACACATACCGATATTTTTTACAATCAGTGTTTCTTACCGTTGTAGTTATAATATTGACTGTTAAATTTGTGTTCGATTGAATCGTCTGAATAGTTTTGGTACTTTTTTGTTAATTTGTTTTTTATTACGAAGTATATACTCCACTTTCATGTCTTTCGCAGATTAAAAATGGATATATGAAATGATACAAAAAATTATGTGGAAGGTATATGATAGTGTATAGGTATGTACATTCAATTTTAGATGTAGAAAATACTTTTAAGCTGCCTTCACGAAATGCAGCTGGCAGAGAATAAAGAATTAAGGATTCCGATCATTTGTGCTGACCAAATTTTAATTTGCTAAAACGCATTTTGAATACGTCTGGTGTTACAGCTGGTTAGATCAGATAGACCAGATAGAAAGACCAGTATTACTTATTAAAATGTACAGATGTTAAAATAAATAAACCTAGAATATTATATTTTGATTTTCTTATTAGTAAACGACTTATTTGATTTGCACATCGTACAATTAGTACATTCTATTAAATGTATGCGTCACCTTTTTCAATTTCATAGCTTACAAAATATAATTTTTTACAACTATTTTGAAATAACAAAATTTTAATCGCAGACATAAAACTAATAATTTGAAAACAAAAACACCAATCAAATATACCTGTTATCATTTGAAATAATATATGGTATATTACCTCAATTTCAAATCAATTTAGGTACTATTAAAAATATTATTTGAATAATACAAAAATCCATAATACCGCAACATAGTATCACATATTATGTAAATCGGGTAAATACACTGCTCAGCAATTGAAGTAAATATCTTTATTCTTATACGGCAAAAATTAATAGCAAAAATGATTTTTACATGTCACTTTTTCTACCTTGGTTTTTTTATTTTTCAGTAAATAAAGATCTGGCCTAAAATATACAGTACAGTAGACAAGTAATGGATTTTGACAAGAGCTATGAGTCATGCCAATTCAGTACACAAGTTTACCTGTTATTTTCAAGGTCATAGCTCTTGTTAAAATCCATTACCTATACCACAATTCTAACGAGTGACTCGGGTTTTGATCGTTTTTATATAGGCCAGTAAATTTGATGTTTACCATGTAGAAAAAAATTATATGTGTTATTGGAATACAGACAATTGGAGAAAATTTAATTATCATTTAATACACAAATTAGTGAATTATTGCAGCATGTTTCATCTCTTAAAAATTGACAAAAACCTACTTCTTCTGAACGTTTAAAGAATATACCTTCAGATAGAAGATATCTTATTTTATATGAAATAGATTTCAATCATTTGTTTGGTCTATTTTTAAACGGTTCAAATGTTTTGGAAAATATTTGAATTCTATGGGAAAAAATGTAACGTTCTCAGCGAGTATGACTCAACTTGAAGTTATCTGCAATGTTGTAGTTTATAACTTTCTGTAACAGTAGATAATGTCCCAGATCAATAATGTCGCAGATTAAGGCGATGTTAATGACAGCAACGTCATTATTCGGGTCGTTCTTTTATTGTGTGTTATCTGTAAGTCATTTTCATAAACTCACTGACAGGGGTTTCTTAAAGCGGAGAACAGAATTGTTTGTAGTATTATTACAAGGCGTCTTTACGTTTACATTTTGTGAATTGGGAGTAATTTAGATTAATTCAATTTGATGACAAATAATAAATATGACTGGCAGAAGTAATAGTGAACCGTATATCAAGTAGAAACATCACAATTTAACACCCGAAAAAAAAAACTATGAGTCGGTCAGATAGCCAAGCGGGCTGGGCGGCCGGTTTCTCGTACGCTTGACTGCGAGTGGTTCAGAGGAAGCGAGTTCGATCCCCAGATCGGTGTACAGAAAACAAAAAGGTTAACGCAGCAGTTTAAAATTCTAAAATTAATCTGCGGCTTAAACTAGAATATGCTGGTGTCTGATCGGCCTATGGTGGAGCAGTACGGCAAGAGATCAGAGCTTGCGGCTCGGTGATACTCCTCCATAGATCCCTACCGGAAGTGCGTGTGCCGCCTAAATACCGGGTATATATATATATATATATATATATATATATATATATATATATATATATATATATATATATAAATAAACTATGATCGGAAATGTGGTCGAAGTCCTCACGGCAAAAAGAAACAGAACACACCGCGCCAAAGATTAATGGCTTCCTCAGGTAAGCTACTGGAATGGTGATTTTTAGTCAAACTATTAGAACACGGTTTCTTGCATGTTATTTGAGAGCAAGAAGACGCGCTACACACCCACGATTGGCGGCAGAGCAACATGCACGCAGATATCGTTGGGTGATGAAACACAGTAAAGGAGCTTTCAAGAGTGGAGACATTTACTTTCTGATCAATCAAGATTTCGTTTATATACGTTTGTCTGTAGAATATTGATCTGGAGAGCAAGAGGACAACAATATAATAATCCATTTAATGGGTTAAATCACTCTCTTTGGTGTTGGATCAAATTCGGTCTAGGGGAAATTATAATGGACGCTCTAACTTTTAGTCGAGAGTAATTTTAATTAGTGAAACAATGACAGTTGTAAGATATCTTGACGGGGTCATAGAGCCAATAATAGTGCCATTTGCTAGTGATATAAGTTGCAGATTTGTTTTTATCTACGATAATTATGGATAGATAATCATGGAATTACAACAATGGATTGGTCACTTTGTTTTTCGGACACGAATTGCATCGGACACGTTTGGGCGGAAATGTCCAGACGTTTAAACTAACTCCTACAGCCACCTCAAACTTTATAATAATTATCTAATGAAAAGTAAACAATTTGGGAAACAATATCTTAAAATTGTATCGATAATTTAATAATGACATTCCCAAACAAAGTAACAGCGTTAAGAATAGCGATTCTTCTTCTCCCAATTCCTAGCTTTCCGAATACTTTGCCTTGAAGTCAAACATGGTCTTTGAATTAAGTTTGTGATTTAACATATTTGATAATTATATATTTCGAACTTTGGCAGAAGTAACCTAAATCTTTTTCTACTATCTACTTAAATTGTTAAGCAGTTTATATACATATACATACAAACTATTTTTTGTTGGTTGCATTAAATTAGATTGAGTAATGCGAGAGAAGGAGATAGGCGGTGACAGTAGGTCAGAAACGGCCAAGGGGTGGAACTTGCATAGGAGACCTTGGAATCCGCAATGTCAAATACAAAGAACACAACTTAGATGGTCAGGTGATATAAAACATCACGCTGCACTGAGAGAGATGCAAAAGTGGATGTTCTTGGCTGATTAGATCAATAGGATTAATATTTCAAACGATAAGAATATAAAGCAATCTAATAGTAAATTTGGGAGATCTTGCAAATACAATTAGAAGAGTGTTACTTTTCAATAAACAAGGAATGTTTATTTTTGTACCCATTTATGCCTAATCTAATTAATATTTTTGTATTGCGATGTTTTATTTGAAAGTCATTTAATTCACTGAAAATATTCTACCGTCTCATATTAATTTATTCATAGTTAAGGAAACATGTAATCAGAGACTGTTGAAGAATATTGATAATTTATCGGCCATGAGTAACAGGTTTATTTGATTACAAAATAAAAAATAACTACGATATTACTTACCCTTACATTTGTTAGTATTTTTATCTAGGATCGCTTTGGTGGATATGATAGTGCCGAATCTGAAACAAAAAAACATGTAAGTCCTAACACTCGAACGAAATAAAAACAATAAAAAAAGAAAAGTACACATTATTTTTTACCAAGCTCTTCTTTGAGCCAAATAGGAAAATTTTATGAAAAATAATATTTTATTACAATTTAGATTAAAAAACAAAAGTACAGTACACATAATGAACCATGGCTGGTCATAAGTACCTCCCCATATTTGCGCACAAAATTCGTACCGTTTAGAACTCATGATGCATTCTACTACTTATGATCCAAGTGATAATTATATTAGAAACAGTGCCATATTGAATCTTGAGGTAATGATGGAGTATAAAAGTAAACTAAATAAAAAAATTTTAAACCTTTAACACGTTGCATGCTAATTACGCCTATGAGCGTCAAGATATCGCTTCAGTCATATGCTGATGACGCACATGTGAGTTTTTAAGATACCTATGTTTTGTATGGTCTAGCATAATAACCCTTGTGTATAAAAGTTTATTTTTTGGAAGAGTTTGTGGAGGAAACTATCTGTTAACCTATTTATCAAGCCGTTCCCAAAAACATTTTCTACCTTTCCTTACCAATAGTTCCATAGTTCCAGTTTTAAAACCACAGTTTTTATGGTTAAAGTAATTTAGGTATTCTCGGTTAATTTTTTTATTAGGGTGTCGTTTATATGAAGCTGTTCCGTAAGTGACAGGTTGGTCCTGCCAGACCGGCCACGGCATTTTTATATACATAATGAGAAATACTCTATGTCCTTATTATTTCCTTTTCTCCTTTTAGAATGTTTTCATTACCTTTTTCAATTTCATTTGTGTTTCGGTAATTTCTCCTCGGGTGCTATATTAAATTAAATTATTTTCGATTTGCTTCGTAAATTGGGTTTAAAAAATAATATTGTTTCTGGTAAAATTATTCAAAGAAGAGCAATCGAAATTTCAAGTGAACTAAGCATTGATATCCTATATCCAAATATAATGAGTTTATGAGTGGTGTTGATCGCAAAGATCAAATGCTCGCTTACTATTCATGTGAGAGAAGGTCGCTCAGATGGTATAAAAAATAGGTATTCACATATTTCAAGTTTTTTTTATTAAATTCCTATTATTTGTACAAAAGTTATACTCCATACACTAGTAGAAAAATAACTTTATATGAAGATCGTAGAAATTATCAGACATCTTTTAAAAAAAAAATCTGAAATAGTATTGGTTACTCCAGCATACAAACAACAACAAATAACAGATAGTTCTAATAATTATAATAATTTGTAATTATTAATATTATTATTGTTTTATATTAAAATGTCCAGTAAATGTTTCTTTTGACAATAATGACTTCATGCTGTTTACAAATCAAAGACACACATTTGAGTCTCAGCATTTGAATGAAACATTAATGATCTAGTGCTGACGACGCCTATGAGTGTCACGCGTTAAAAAAGACAAAATATAGCAAAAGCTTGATAAATGTATTCTGCCAACAAAAAACCAATCACTGTTATATAACGATTTACAAAAAAAATACTCTCAGCACCTATCAATATCATATCGTTAGGCTTTAAGCAGACGACGTGTTAAATTCACGAGGTAATCGCCAATGTATTTCAATCACTAGACGAAAAAATCAGGGCAACTTAAAATTCCTATTAATGTGTGAATGAGGCATTGCTGTGACAGGAGATTCTAAAAGAAGTATTCGAAGAATTGTCAAGGAAAAACATGAAATAGTTGAAGGTAACAATTCATCTTTTCTTGTTCTTCTTTCAGTACCCTGTCCGATTATAGAACGTTGGCGATCATATTGGCAATAATAACTTTGTTTACGAAAGCTCGAAACATATTAGGGAACGCGTGGAATAGATTCTCTTCGGAGAGTAGTTAAGTCAACAGGTTTTCCTTGAGGGAAAACAAAAAGAAAAGTGTATTTTCGTCAATAAAAACGAACAGAACTGAAAAAATACCGATTGTATATATGGATGAAACTTCCAATGGCTTCCAAACAAGGATTAGCAAAACCCATATCCGAAGTAGAGAAATAAATTTATTCGCAACTTTCCGCCGAAATCTGTGCTAGTAATTGACAATGTTCCTTATAATAATGTTTAAAATAATTTACCAAACATTTACTTCCATCCTAGTAAATCCTAGTAAAAGTTCGATATCTGGTCTGACAAACTCAGTCTTTGTCAGACCAGATATAAATGTAGCCTCCAAATTTTTAACAAACCGAGATGAGTTCGAAATTCTCACAGTGGAGTTTCATTCCTGTACGGTAACGTCCATCTAGAAACCACCAAACGATGACTGTTTCTTCAAAGAACCGGATAACTTTCACTCACAGCTGGGCATAACATAAAATTCATACTGGGCGACTTCAATTTCCACAGTGTCTCGTCGTGTTGTAAAAAGACGGACTTCAATGGCGAAGAACTAGAAATATGGGCGGAAAGCAAGCACTTCAAACTAGTTATCATATTCATGATCCAGAACAGCCTGCATCCTTTAATAGCGAAAGATAGTGTAGCTACAAACCAGACAATATGTTTGTTAGCGACAGGATTGGAGATTAGAGGACAAAAATCTTTGGAAGCCTATTCCCAAAAACACAACACAGACCAAAAACTTGATTTCCTAACGCAGTGATCAGATACAAAACTGTTCCTTTCAAGAAAAGGTTCAATTTCATAAAAAGAAAAATAAGTAATCTCTGAAAACTTTCCCTGAAGGATCAAAAAGTTTCGCACCTGGAATCGGGCCATATAAGTTAATAGAAATAGTAAAACAAGGAAGTATATTCCTAGAGGTTCCGAACTGAGTACACAGTGGAGTTCAATGAAAAATCGAAACCCCTAGTTAAAATATAAGAAGCTATATGAGGACGACTTGTTATCGAAAGCAACAATACAGGATGGGGGGGGGGGGGACGAGCTACATGCGATATCCGCCAACAGAACGGACAGGTGGTGCAAGCTGATGAGTCTGGGCATGAAACAAAATAGCAAACTAATGTTACTAGGAAATAGCGAGAGCGATTTAGGGCAAAACCTAAAAAAGTGGAGACAGTTCTTGAGGAAAAAGTTTTACAACTTAGTAAGACAAAAACAGAGTATTTGGAATGTTCATTAAAGATGGAGTTACTACAAATAAAATGATATGTTTGAATGTTGAAATTATTGTGAAAAGTAAGTTTTAAGTATCTAGGTATACAGTAGAATTAGAATTGGATGGATGAAGTGGACGCGAATGGTGTGTTAGTAGAAAGTTTATGGGTCTAGTTTATAGAAAAATTCCAAACAAACTGTAGAGAAAGTTCTATAAAACAACATAAGACCAGCTGTGATATACGGGTGATAAGCAGTTAAAAAGAAAGGGGAACAACGGATGCATGTAGCAAGAATGAGAATGACGGATAAGTGTAGTGACAAAAAGGATAAACCTAAGAATTAGTATATTAGGGGATCTCTAGGGATGCCAAAATGAGAAAGGATAGGTTAAAATGGTTTGATCATGTTCAACGTCGACACGTTAATCACTCAATACGAAGAATTGCTGATCTGCGGGTTCCTGCGATGAATAAGCGATGAAGACCAAATATTTTGCGCAAGGCTATCTATAGCGCTAGATACTCGACTTCGTAAATTTTGACATTTCTTACGGTAAACAACATTGACAGATTGAAAATCCAAAGTATGGTTTAGCAACGACAAATAAACATGAAAATTCCTTAGTTTTGGTGATAAAGCATCAGACCCATTAAAAACCTCAAATTAAAAGGTTTAAAAAAAATCAGATTTAGTACCAAATTTCGTGAAGGCCATTTGGCCACAGCTGTTTGGCCACATTTGGCAGTGCAGTTGTAGGATTCCTCATAATTTAACTGCTGCCCAGAACAAGATACGTATTGATTGGTGCCGTGCCCCACTCGAACGATTCAATGAGGCAGTAAGAACATCGTCAGTGGTAATGAAACATGGATATATTGTTATTAGTCCGAAACGAAAAACCAATAGACGGTATGAAACCAATAAAACAACCGCAATCGTCGCATCCCCTTGCATCAATACAAAATGAGCTCTCACACAGTAATATTCGAATATTTGAAGACGAAAACTTCGATTTTGTGGGCCATTCTGAATACAGCTCTAACTTAGTGTCGTGAGATTTCTTGCGTCCCCGAGAATCAAAAAGAAACTACGTGATAAGACGTCCGATGAAGCATAAAAAATTTCATTTCTGAGGTATCTGTTTTACAATGGTATAAATGCTTCGACGATTGGTTTGTTCAAATATAAAGCTATAAATCTTAAACACGATTATACACTTTGAAAAACAGTAAAGCTGATTTTTCCCAAGAATTTCATTTGCTTCTATTATTTGTGCAAAACTTATAGTGTACGCCTAGCATATAAAACTAAATTATTCTTCAAGAAAAGCCAACACTAAAAATAATACATTTAATAAATTAAGTTAGATGGAATCTAACTGAAAACTAAGTTGTAATTGTTTTAGGTAAAACCCAATGCAGACCAATTTGTTTATTGATTAATTATCTAAACATTCGAAAACATGTAAAAACCTGATCCAATTAATGTTTGGGCAAGTATTTAGTATTTATTTACATATTTTACATTCAATATTTTTATTACTGTATTATAATATGATCTTATTTAGTGGTATATTCTAACTACTTATTTACTTTAAATGACTATTATATGAGGGGGTCAGTCGTAAAAGGGTTTAAGTGCAGTTTTGATAGTTCTGAGATAATCAGCGACAAAGTTGTTTTAGTTTTATAAATTCTAGGAATGATTAAACTAAAATATGTCTATTATACAATGTTCTATAAAATGATAAAAATATAAGGGTATATTATTACTTTTACTACATACTTTCTTTTTTTCAATTATTTAACAAATGTACTTGAATCGGGACATGATATTTATAAATGTTACTGGTAAAACGGTTCAAGTGTAGATGTTAGGTATTACTAATTATTTTTTTTTACGTATTCAACTAAACTTTATTTTGTAAACTTTTAAGTATAATATCATTCGTAATCCGACTCTAAGAAAATATCTTCTTCGCCATCATTCTCGTCGGCGCCATCTCTGCTGGCAGCTGAATTTGCTGATTCCAATTTTGCTTCTGCCGTTGATGTTCCAGTATGTTTCAAATTTCGGTTAAAGGAGTGGTGACATAAGGGAATGTAGTCCACGAGGCTTAGTAGATTTTTATATTTGGCATCCTTAATTGGCAGTGTCGTGTCATTAATAGGGTTCAATTTGGGGAGGTGAACAGATAGACGTCCACTTTGTGATTTTCCCATAGTACACATCGAAAACTCAATATCCTGGTTTAAAGTATGCTTGTACCTGAAAGCCAGATTTTCTGCTTAAAATATGCCAACCAGGAAATACTGCGTTATTGTATTCTCTGCAATGGAATCCTTTTTAGGATATTTCATTATTTCATGTATTATCGAAAAGGAGTAAAAATCTTCTGTCGTTATGTTGTCGTAAACCACAAACTTTGAGGATGTATTTTTTATAACACGTTCTCAATCGGCTGGAACAAAAGCTTGAGGAATTTGTCGTTTTTTTCTTTTAAATTAAACCAAAACTGCGGTCACACTCGTGTGACCAGGTTCCAGAAACTAGTGATGGATCTCGGTGATGTGAGTAGCTTGAAGGATGTAGGATAACAGTTTGGAGATGTTTTTGTTTTTATTCTGCCCTACACAAGAGTCACTATATGCAACTATCTTTGTTACCTTGGGGGGTAGACACCTGATAAATTTGATCAGACATGAGCCTATTTCCTGGGAACCTCTTGCTGCAACTGTTTCATTCCATAAAAACATTTGACTCTGTCCAGTAAGTAAGTTGTATATACAAAAATTGAACATCCATAGTTAACGAAGGTAAAATGCCTTTTACGCAGTTACTAGTGGTGCTGGCAATGTCTGTTGCAAATCAAAACAAATAACGACAGTATTCTCAATATTTTTGTGTTTTTCAATATCTAATTTTTTAGAATCGTTTGCTTTCTTAGCTTTTCTCGGATGTAATTCTAAATCCCGTTTAGCGTTTGAAATGGTTTCCTCATTTTCAGAATATTTTATCAAGATTTGAAAATTGTCACAGAGACTACATGTATCACAATAAGGCTTGTGAAATTTCAAATTGAACTCTGCGTTGAAGATAAATTGATAATATGATTCTTTCACAGGTTCTTCATGTTGTTCTTTACAAAATTCATTTAATACATGAAGATAATCTTGTGTTTTACATGTACTTTTACAAAATACTAAAAATAGTTTGGTGGTAAAACGGTTCAAGCGCACATAAACCTGTTTACTGCCAATGCAAACTACAATTGTTTTTAAACTGAAAACTGCAATTTAAGTATGCGAATCTGTACTTAGACCATATTTTTAAAAAAGTTCACTTAAACCCTTTTACTTCTAACCCCCTCATATATAGTATATTATTTTTTTCTATTCAGTAAAATCTCATTGTCAAACTGGCTAACACATGTAATCTGTTTTTAAGTTCAAAGAAATTGACTTGTCTTTGTTTTATTTTGGAAACTTCATCGCAAATCACAGAAAACGTTACAAAATACATATCAAATGTCTGTGACCATTTAGTTAAATTATCGTCATTAAAAGCGCTATACAATAGAGTTGATTTATGGGTATGCACTTGCCCCACGAACCTACGGACCACTTACAATAAGAAGGGTGGCCAAAGAGACTATTTTATGCTAAGAAAGATCACTTTAAATCGAGACAGCGTACTGAAAACATCTCCAGTTTATCGGACTACTACTCTACTCTGCTTGCTACAATTAATACACCATATTTCAATGGTAAGTGGTTTTTTGTTTGTACAGATAACAGCAATGAGTTACACCAGCTATTTTTCGTGATATTTAATTAGTTGATAATTTATTCGCAATCAAAATATTGCATTTTTCTTCGTTATTATTCTAATTCAAAGCGACCTCGCGTTTTACGCAAAACAATTAACAAGTTCAGCATTACGATAAAGCATTTGCAGTAGTTTACGTTTATTCAATAAACAATAGACTAAGGTTAAAAAGTTTTTTCAATCATATTATGTTTGGATGTAATTTGCACATATTCGAGTATGGCATCCTTACGTTTAAATGAAAGAAACTTTGATTTTTTTTTATATACTAATGATTTACTGCACTTTGAATACCACTGTGCTTTATGAAAGAGAAAATAATTCATGAGGTTGAGGCAAGAAAAGAACAAGGTGAATGTAGACTTAATTTACAACACATCATGTTTCTATCATCGTCGGAGAACATAACAAAATGTACCTAAGTAACACTTATTAAAATTTAAGCAGTAAATTAGTAAAATAATCTTAAGACACTTACTGTTGACACATATTAACTAAATCCTTGTCGGTGGTTGCAGGATTCAGTCCCCTGATGTAAAGGTTAGTCTTCGAAAGCTGCTCGGATCCGGACGAGGAATTGTTAGAAGACGTATTGGTATTGTTAGGCATGTTGTTGCTGAGAGAAGTCGAAACGTTGCCGCTTTGACTGCCGGTATGACTACTCGAGCTACTAGCATTTGACGGAGATGTCGCTGTTGGCACTCTTTGATTTGTGTACTGAAACAAAAATTAACTATTGACAATACTATAAATATATTTCGTTAAAATTTTTAAAAGTCTACTACAGGCCCTATAGGCCCTTGGCAATATTACCATGTATAAATTTCTATGCAGTAAATTTTCATAACCGTAAATATGGTAAGCATTAGCAATATTTTGTAATGTTAATGGATATTTCTTTTGAATAAAAATTAGCTCACCCTTTCTAAAGTTGTTTCCATTGAACAACAGTAGATTTATAAACTATATTGAAGAAACCAATGCTCAGTCACAACCGAATCCCAATAATTCAAAAATTATATTGAGGAATTCAAATTTACAACAAAAATTCTAAAAGCGGGATAATTATTATTTTCAAATACCAAGTAGTAATTACTAACAGTAGTAGGAAGTAATTTAGGAGGTTTCATGTCTTATCGGTATAATTTTTGAAATTGTACGCATAATATAATTTCAAAGGCAAGAAAAACGTTCGGACATGCATCGATCTTTATGTTTACATTTGCATTAAATTTGGATTAAACTTAATTTATGAATTCTATATGACATGACGAGACTCGTGACTCGAGAAACTCACGCCCTTGCGCGGGTGTGAATGGTAATGAAATCCACTCGCACCCATCCCTATTCGGGAAACGAAAAGGTTTTATCGTTACCGAATGTTATCAGCAAAAGCTTTTTCTTATTCTAACTGTGCCTATTTTCTAGAGATGTTAGCGACCACATTGACCTATCTTATTCTATTCACAGCAGCTCGAAATAGATCTTCTTCTTAAAGTGCCCTCTCCTCAATGGAGGTTGGCTACTACAATTTTAAACTCTTCTCTATCTTCAGCTGTTCTTATTAGCTGTTCAAAATTTAGCCCTGTCCATTGTCGGATGTTTCTGAGCCACGATAGTCTTTTCCTTCCTAGGCCTCTTTCCCTCGATTTTTCCTTTCACTATAAGTTGGGCATAAGTTGGCCAATAGATCAGTTGACGTTAGACCCGTCCATTTTCTAAGATTGGCCAGCTAGGATATACTTCTACGTCCAGGGCCTCTCTTACCTTGAATCTTGCCCTGTAGAATCAACTTTAGAAGTTGGTATTTATCATTATGCAAGATGTGGCCAAAGTAAGCCAATTTTCTGTTTTCTATGGTGTTAATAATTTCGTTGTCTTTTCTAACCCTATGGAGAATAGTTATGTTACTTGTGTGGTGTAGATATGAGACCCTCAACATACGTCGGTAGTACCACATTTCAAATGCTTCCAATCGTTTTATGGCATCTTCTGTAAAGCTCCAGCTTTCTACTCCATAGAGGAGGACACTAAAGACGTAAACATCTAAGAATTCTTATGCGTATATTGATACTTAAAGATACGTTGCAGAGAATCTTCCTAAGGTTGTTAAAAAAGCTTCTGTCTTTTTCAATGCGAGTTTTTATTTCGTAGTTGTGATCCCAAGTATCCTTAATACTACAGCCCAAATAGCATATTTTTTCCACTCTTTCTAACTGTGTATCCTTAATTGTAATTTGGGCGTTTATGCCGGTGTTCTTACTGATGATCATTATTTTTGTCTTCTTGCAATTTAGTTTTAGGCTGTATTTTTTACATGCTTTTACAACGTTATCCATCATCCTTTGGAGCCCCTGCGCACTATCTGCCAGCAACACTGTATCGTCTGCATATCTAATGTTGTTTATAAGTTGGCCATTTACAGCATTCCCATCTTCTGATTCGTCCTAGGCCTCTCTAAAGATGTTTTCAGAATATGTTAAATAATGCCGGTGACAATATTCAACTCTTTTTAACTCCTTGTTCGACTGTGAAGACCTCGGACAGTTCATTTTCTAATCTTACTGTTGCTTTTTGTTGGATATTAAGTTTGAGATTAGTCTTATATCCTTACCATCAAGTCCTGATGTTTTTAGGAGATCGATTAGTTTCCCATGTGGGACTTTATCAAATGCCTTCTCGAAATCAATGAAACATGCATACACATCGCAGTTGACATCTCTGGCTCTCTGTATTAGAACTTGCAAACTAAAAACCCTTTTGATAAAACAAATTGAACTTCCCTCAGGTGTTCTTCTAATTTGGTGTATATGCGCGAGTGAATGATACTAAGGAGTACTTTAAGTACATGGCTCATCAAACTAATTAATCTATGCTCTTCACACCTTCTAGCGTTGGCTTTTTAGGAAGTGGAATGAATATTGATAGTAGCCAGTCTTTTGGTAAGTAACCAGTCTCGCAGATGTTTTTGAATAGCTTCGTAAGAGCTGTGATTTGGTGTCACTCTAATAGCTTTAAGCTTTTTTATCACTATATAATTTTTTTTTTACAACAGTATCTGAAATTTGCTTGCTTTTAAAATATGTATTTAAACAATTAATAAATTGTGTTACACTAAAGCCATATTTGAATCCACGGTGGGCTGTATGTAATCCACAATATACTAATATTTGTTAACAACTAGTCACAAGTGTATCAAAGATCAAGCACGTGCTTTTTTTGTTTTATTTACTACACTATTCCATGATTAGTATCAGTATGTCCAATGGTTATCACAGTTTCAGTTGCGCATAGAATTATTCTAATGATGATTGCACATTCGAATACGCCCTGTCGTAAATTATTATTACGATTTAAAAATAAACGTAGTAGTTAATAAAAACAATATGTGCAATTACTGTGAATGGAATTAATGATTACAAATGTATTCAGAATTAACATCAATTTTATTACCATGTAAATATTTTTGAATATCGAGTACTGTCTTTATAAGAATAGAGTCTAAGAAGAAAAAAAAAAATTCAATATTTTGAAAAAAGGTTAGAGTACAAGGTAACTGTTTGGGTTCTCTTTGATAATATTGCTATATACTACTAAAACAATGAATGTAGAATTATTGTTCAAAAATGTCGACGTGTACGTTCATTTTACGATCTTTTGTGACTCACTAGTAGCATTTCATAAATAAGAATATTATTGTAACATAAAAATATAGCACGTTAGTTGGTTAGTAATGATACATTTCATAAATAGTTATCGTTACACATTAATTTTTACATTTTTTTTAATGATTAAGTACGCTACATAATATGATTGTTTTCTATTGTCTACATATATTCTGATCATGTAAATTGTTATTATGTTAGTTTAAATATTAACATCTATAAGACTATTGAAGAGTGGGAAAGAGCCATCTTTTTTTTCAAAATTGAATTATTGACGTAGAAATGTTCTAAGGTCCCCGCTTGTAGTCCTACGTAAGGGTCTAAGCGCAAGCATTCAAATTAGAGTTTCAGGAGCTTCTCACAGATGTCGGTTACTGTATGTATGGCACCATTTTCTTTAGAAAGGTCTTAAGTTCAACTGTCGATTGTAATGTATTAATATTGAAGAAAAAATCAGAAAAAAAGAAGATCTAAAGGCAGTGGTTCATTTGGCAGTGAGCAAAAACGCTTAAAATCCATTGGAGCGTCAGCGTCATACAAAACATACAAACTTACTAAAGTAGCTCCAAAAAAATATCCCAACGAGTTGGTTTGAAATACAAACAAACCTAATGAATTTTGTTATAACTTTGTGTATTTTTTGCAGATTGCATGCAAATGTAAGTTAAACTGTGAAGATGTTACGTACGAAAGGAAAAGTTCCCTTTTTGAAAAATTCTACCAAGAAGATGCAAAATGACAAGGCACTTTTCTAATGGGGATTTTAAGTATTTGCGGTGTTTAAAGAGGACGACATAATTTGTATGAGCATGAGCAAGACAGCCGACGTCAAGCAACAATATGCTATTAACTTCCCAATGGTAATGGAAAATTTGTCCGGGTATGTAAGAAAATGTTTCAAGATACTTTTACTGTTAATGATAAAAGATTGTGCGTGATTTTGGCAAACCGTATTATACTGATAAACGTACCGGACATCGTGCTCCGAAGTTTTCTGAATCTGATCGTTTAATGCTAAAGAACCACATAAACATGTTCCCCAAGGAATGTTGGTCATTTTTCTAGAGTTAAACGCGCAAATGTGTACATTAGCCTGGATTTGAACATGCACAGATTGTTCAATATAGGTCTATTTTCATCAACGATTTTCCTAGCTTATCCAGAAGTTAAATTCTATGGCTGCTCAAATCGGCCGTGGTGGTTTCAGGTAACATGTGTTGACAGTACAAGCTCCAAATGGCTAATTAAGGCGATTGAAAGACAACCCAAAAAAAGGAGCAAAACTTAAGACGATCGAAGGAACTGATCTGCTCAAAACTCTTTATACATACTTAACGAAGAAAAATACCTCAATGTCTGCTGAAAAAATCCTCAACAGACTGAGGAAGACGAATCGGAGCCAGAGGACGCAGGACTAGAAATTACTTCATTGCGAGAAATCAGGTCCTAGAAATACTGAACTTTCTCAATACACGATCGACCTATAAAGGCTTTGGAGAAATTAAACTTCAAGTCCTTCTTCGGCTTTTGTCACATCATCATCCGACCAAAGGATGTCAAGAGAAAGGAGACATTTTCTTCCTCTGAACAATCAAGGCCGAAGAGAACGAAAGCAAGGGGAGAACAGTGAAACTCTCCGGAAAGTTTAAGAGAAAGAGAAAGGGGAAACATCCACTTTCTAACAAAAGTTTTGTGAGAAAGCTAAATAAGAGACAACTGAAAACCTCTCTAAAGCCCAAATTACATTCTAGAGACAAAAGTAAAAGTATGTTACGGTAGTAAAGATAGAGTCTAACGGAAAAGACCCTACAAGAGTAAACGATGATTAAATTCATACAGGCGAATCTTTAACATTCCAAGGCTGCTTCATATACCATTGGCAAGACTCGCAAATGAAGCTGCAGATGTAGTACTAATCGAGAAACCTAGGGTTATTACAACACGCCAACTAAGGTACTGTATTGCTCAAAGGGGATAAAACCCAAAGCGTGTATGTACGTAGGAAAGATATATCTTACTTTTAGGTTTCTGCGTACAAGATGTGATTGCAGC